GAAATGCACAGAGCCATTAGGTAGAGTAGGTGTCTCTCGCCTTCCAGGTTGGGGTCCGAATGACTCCACAACCGGTTTGTTGGAGACATTGAAGGAAATGGTAGCGAACCCTCATCAGTGGCGTTCTTGTTGTCGTTTCTTATCAGGTCAGAATGCTTGAAACGGTTTGTATGCCGAGTTTGATTGCGTACTCTGTGTATTGACCATAGTGGCTCATCTTCCCCCTCCCTGAAAGTAGATCCAATCCCTGTTCACCTTAAATTTCACCACTAACCTTGTATGCATTGCGAGTTTGGCAGCGATCAGTGAAGTTCGCCTTACTGTATTTCGCTGTACGATGATGATGCTGATGATGACATTGTCATACATGAGATCGCGTTATGGTCATTCATACTTTGCTGCCTCTAGAGAATTGCGATTAGGTTGCTTTACATTATCATCTTCTTGCGATTTTGCGATGAGGATGCTCTACAGATTGTCTTGTCCGGTCTGGCAAACAACGGAGTTGAACTCCTCCAAAAGAACAGTTTTTTCAACAAAGAATATGCCTTGCGCAGTGGCAATGCGCAGGTAGCCTAATACACTATGAACTACTTGGCTATCAAGGCATCAAGATGAAGCAGGTTTGGCACCATCTGACGTCAGACGGATAGTAACCCGTGCCTGCATTCATTCGCTAGATTGGAACCCAAAAGATGAAAACTTAAACTTGCTTAAAGACGCCAAGAAATACAACCTATTATAGAAGACTGTGGTTTGAATTTCATGCGGTTTGTTTGTTGAAATACTGTTATATCAAAAAGAACTAAAAACACAGACAAAAACATAAAACAATGTACGGCAAAACACACGTACACAAAAAAAAGTTGAAAGTATTTTGTTTCGTCCATGCGAAGCCAGGGAAACAATAGTCTGTGTAATGTTACTCTTGCTGATTTTGCCCTGAGCACTCTTTTCCCAACCGTTTTCCATCGTTTTACCTATTCGGAACCAACAGTCTTTGCTGAAAACTGAAACCGTTAATCCTAGAAAGAAACTGGAAGAGAAAGAACAACGGTGCACGACCACCGGATATCTACTAATAATGAATCATGTTTCAGATCCACAAACCGAGTGAGGGTCATATTTGTCAACATGGAAATCTGATTTCGCATGGTCGCGGAAGCTGTTACAATAAGAAGACGAAAACATTACCTGTGTGTAGGAAGAGAACTGTCGGTCACAGTGTCACTCCTTTGAAAGTGAACACTCGGTCCTGTGCAACTGATGTACCGTCAAATGATGTGGACTGTTGCCTTCTGTCGTAATGTATCAAATGTGATGCAGTGCTGTTGTTCTTTCTTTTCCCACATTGTTGTTCCGTTGCGAGCATATCCCCAAGTCGGTGATAAATATCAAACATAAGTGTATACAACATTGTACTTACAGGCGCGGATAGCCGTGAATGAGCATCTAGGTGCACCAGCGACTCGGTCCGTTACTCAGAGACCCGAGTCTCATCAACTCAAAAGTTCATCCGAGACAGTATTGATGTAGATACAACCTCTCTACTGAAACTTAGCTGTACAGCTATTGCAAATCCGACAAAGTGAAAAAGTATTACTGAAGAGAGAATGGAATTTTTCTTCTTGGTTCCTTTTGGATGTAGTATACATGCAAACACAAAAACAGATTGCAAGTGGTAAGCAGTACAATCAAAACTAAAGGGAACACACCATCAGCCAATTCATTCAACAGACCACTACCGTCTGTGGTTGATTGTGAAGGATCAGTACTGCTGGAGGCTCGTAGAGCAGGATCGGAAAGTAAACCATACAATACTGGTTCCTTATTGGATTCTCGAGGTGCTTCACCGAACAAGGCACCTCGGCGCACGTCGAGTTGCAAACGTGTTCGTGGAGGACCCTCAATTACTGAAAAGCCGGGTGATAATTAATGCTCGTTTCCAGTATTACCTTCAACAGAGAGTTGTTCGTTCAAAACACTCTGTATTATGCTTAGTCCATTCTGCTGAAGGAAATGTCGCAATAGAGTATAGGACGAGTTGGCCACACTAACAAAAAATTCTGATGATCGAAACGACTCCACTAAAGGATTCAGCAACAACTGGTCCGGGTCTGTGATGTGTGCCAGTAGCGTAATATCCGATTGATAGAAATCCTCTTGATATTTCCTGAACGTCTCCAAAAATTTCTTGGCTGGGAAACAAATTAAATTCAAAAGATTTGCTTACCCTCATCACAAAGACCTCCACTAATCAAACGCAAATATAAGTATACAAAGATCGGATAGAGTAACGAGGAGAGCTCCAACTTAAAACCAAGTGTTAAGAATAAGTGTATAACAAACCTTGTGATTGTCCGAAATTTTTTCTATGAAGCTCAGGAGACATTGATATTTAGTTCCAAAGTGTTCTGGTTCATCAGATGCTTGACTAGATATCTCGATTTAGTTTTATTTGAACAAACAGTGGACATACGCTTTGAACTTGAAGAACTCCTCGGCCGACTTATTGTCCAGTAACCCTGCCTCCTGCTTTAGAACCATTTCCGCTTCCTATTCACGATGGTAAAAATAATAATAACAGAACAAACCTTGAAGTTGTATTTTTGCAATGTTTTTAGTGCCGACAAAATCTCTTCATTCAGAGATAGCGCCATCGTGAATAGGACAAGCTGTTTGAAAAAGATCAGATGAAAGACCAGTGATTTAGAGACATCCATGGTGCAAACTGATGGAATTCGTTGCAATACCGACAAAACGGAATTTTACTTTTATTTTATCGCCGTTGACACTGTGCGATGAGTCGCCTTCGTGGATGTAAAGGAACGCAGCTGCCTACGAATAAAGATCGGAGACAAAATCGGTACTGATTGAGGTCCAGTATGGTTCCAGTGGCGAAGATCGTACATAGTTCAGATTTATAAAACCGAACATCCGACTTGGCAGTGGTAAGCCATATTTTAACGTATCCACCACAGTAGCAGCGCCAGACAGTATGAGGTCAAAGCATTCTCACAAGTTCCATAGCTATTTAATGTCAGACACGGCCAAACGATTTCACTGGACACCGTGGCAGAAGCTGCCACACATGATCAGTGTCACACCAAGGTCGTCTTAGGGAGTTGTTTACTACTTGGTCAGGCCAGTTAACTTTGACATTCTGATTTGGGCTTCAGTGATCGAACATCTCTAGTCTTTCTCGTCTTCAGTTTGTAGCAGCCATGTCTCCCAGCTATATATTAGTATCGGATGAGCAGTAACCCGGCAAACGCGAAGTTCAGTCGGACGATTGACCTCGTTGCGAAGTACGAGCGTTTTGCGACAATGAAGAAACGCCCTATTGATATTCTCTATGCACAGCCAAACTTCCTCTTTTGTCTTGCCAATTGAAAGAATCGTTTAGCACACATTTGAAAATCAAAACACAGTCGAGTGATCGGTCGTTATCTGAGTGGGTGGCACACCGCATATGAAGCACAACCTGGTTGTAGTGTTAATCTCCTCACCAATCACCTTCATAAAGCATTCTGTGTGGTACAAAAACTGCTGAAGATGAGTCAGCGTATCACCCAGAATGACAACATGGTCGAACAATGTCAGAATAGCTGGGATAATGTCAGGATCAAGTGGAATACCGAGATGGGGCTATATCCATTCTATCATTTAGTTCAACAGCATTTGTAATAGAGTGCGCACCAGTCTCCTACAGCAAGTCACAGGGAATCAGTTTGATTCCTGTCTGTAAACTCGAATTCTCGCATGTGTTTGAATTACGATTTCAAAATGTTCAAAATCGTTTTGGGTGTCCCATCTGCTTGCAAAATATTCCAAAGCGAATCTATTTATTGAATCAAATGATGCATGGAAATCAATAAGCTGTTTTTCGTTGTCCAAGTTTATGGCGATGGAAATATGACGTACGCACCCATGGCCCAAGAAAATCCTTCCTTATTTGTTGCATGTACAGTCATCGTGTACTGCAACAAACTTACTGAGTAGTTTCACTGTGAGGATCTCAATGACCACAGCTATCACGTTAATTTCTCGGTATTTGATATCTCTCTTCTTGGGTAACGGAAATGGGGTGTAATTATCCCAATAGGTTGGGAATAGCTCGTTCTTTTAAACGGGACTGATTAAGGTGTCTCCAGTGGAGGTGATAAAGTTTTACCCTGGAGCCCTAACTGCAGTAATAATATCCTATTCACTTGGTGAGTTGACACCGATGGCAAAGTAACCAGGTTCGGTGCCCAGGATGGTCCCTGAGGGCCTCAGTGAAGGGCGCTTCACCAATTAATCGGACCGTTTTACCCAACCTCGAAAGCTCGTCCGCGGATATGTGAGCTGCTACGTTATTCACGGACCTGTCGATCCGGGCAACATATTTTATCAGCGGTTGGGACCTGCCTCCAAAAGCCTCAGTATGGTCGGGGGTGGGTACCTAGGGTTACTGCTAGTCAGCTTCTCTTGCGCCTCACGAAATGCTCCCATACGACCAAGCGTCTCGAATAGCTTCTGCTGAAG